CCTGGATTCCCCCAAAGCCACCATCCAGCCCTGGAGCTCAGAGGAAGTGGGATCATATAAGTTCATGCGCAGGCCCTTTAAGAGGAACACCTGGGACTCTATGTCACTCAGCCACAATCCCCGCTGGTTTTTATAGAAGTTATGAGGACTTCTCTTACCCAACTCTGGAATCCTGGTCTAGGAGTCTGGTGTGGGGCTGGGACCCCCTGCTTCTCACAGGAGTCTTTGGAGATATCCCCCTCCCCCCCCCCCGATTAAAAAAATGGCACACATGGGTATCACACCAGCCCAGTGTTACGAAGCGAGTCCCCAAGAGATGGACCACCGGAGCCAATTTGATTAAGCATGCTAGAATTTATTACAGATTCGAATCTGGACTCAAACCATGGCTGACGCAGCAGCCGGTAAACACCCAGGTAAGAGCCCCGATGGAGGGGCAGTCCCTCCAGAGCGCTCACACAAAAACACAGACAAACACACACCTACCGCGGCCAGTCAGGCTCTTCGGAATGGGGGTCCCTCATGGTCCTGGCTGGGGATTCCAGTCATGATCCCCAAGGACCACCAGGGAGCCGAGTCCGATGCAATAAACAAAAGAGCCATCTCCATGCTAGCATGGGCCCTGTCCCACTCACGCTGGCAGCATGGCGGGAGAGAGCGAATTTCGCCCAGTCCAGGAGTTTTATTCAGGTCGGTGATGTCACTGCCTCGGCTAACCCTGATTGGCCCCTCAGGACTAAATTCTAAAGACTGGGGACGGCCTGCAGGGTTGGTTCCCAGTCACACTCTGCTTGACATTGGATGTGGCCCTATCTTGCCCATAATACAAAAGCAGAACTAAAGGTTATCTACAGTTTCTACCCCTGAAGCTACTGAGTCAGTGGGAGTCAATCTCCTGTAACTACCCTATTGTTTAAGCAAGCAATCGAAGGTAGAAGTCAGATAGCAAGGTTAAAATTCAAACAGCAGTTTTTACCCAAGTATGAGTGCTACCATATTTCACCCAGTCCACTCCTCTGCCCCTCCTTCCAGCCTCAATGTGCTTTCTTCTTCACTTCTCTATTTGTAGGACTTCCATTCAGCCTGAGTTTGGGTGGTTTTGAATGATGGTTGTTCAGTATTTCAGTTGTAATCTTTTTATTTTATTTTATTTTATTGATTTTACAGAGAGGAATTGAGAGGGACAGAGTTGGAAACGTCGATGAGAGAGAAACATCGACCAGCTGCCTCTTGCACACCCCCCACTGGGGATGTGCCCGCAACCAAGGTACATGCCCTTGACCGGAATCGAACCCAGGACCTTTCAGTCCGCAGGCCGACGCTCTATCCACTGAGCCAAACCGGTCCCGGCTCAGTTGTAATCTTGATGGGATTGTGGGAGGTGGTGAGTACTATGTTAACCCATAATGCCATCTTTGGCAATGACTTTATAACAAAATTTTAAAAAATTAATCTCAGAGTGGAAGGGGGGAGAGAGGGGGGAGGGAGAGGGAGAGGAGAGAGAGAGAGAGAGAGAGAGAGAGAGAGAGAGAGAGAGAGAGAGAGAGAGAGTTATCAATGATGAAAATCATTGATCAGCTGCTCCTGCACACCCCACACTGGGAATCGAGCCTGAGAATCCAACCATGACCTCCTGGTTCATAGGTTGTTGTTCAAGTACTGAGCTATGTCAGCTGGGTTTGGCAATGACTTTTTAGATACAACAGCAAAGGCACAAACCATGAAAGAATTGATGTTAGGGTTCATTAAAATGCAAGACAGTCCTGCCGCAAGGCAAAGTCAGCCAAGAGAATGAGAAGATAAGCCACAAATTGTAAGATGCATATCTGATAATGGACTGTTATCCAACTATGCAAAGAACTCTTAAAACTCTTAGTAAGAGCCGAAACCGGTTTGGCTCCGTAGACAGAGCCTCCGCCTGCAGACTGAAAGGTCCCAGGTTCGATTCCGGTCAAGGGCATGTATTATACCTTGGTTGTGGGCCCATCCCCAGTAGGGGATGTGCAAGAGACAGCTGATCAATGATTCTCTCTCATCGATGTTTTTAGCTCTCTGCCCCGCTCTCTTCCTCTCTGTAAAAAATCAATAAAATAAAAAAATAAAATAAAATAAAAAAACAGTAAGAATAAGACCCACCCAATTTGCCCTAGCCATTTGGGTTCAGTTAGAGCATTGGTCCATGGACTGAAGGGTAGAGGTCGATTCTGGTCAAGGGCACTTATCTAGGTTGCAGGTTTGATCCCTGGCTCTGGTCAGGACGGGTGTGGAAGGCAATCAATTGATGTCTCTTTCACACTGATGTTTCTGTCTCTCCCTCTCCCCCCAAAACCAAACCAAAATAAAACAACTATGGAAAAATATCTTGGAATGAGGGTTAACAAAAAGAGGGCAAAAGATCTTGACATCTCACCAAAGATACTTGCATATAAGTACATAAAAACATGATCAACATTATATTATCAGGGAAATGTAAATTAAAACAAAATACTATGAAGTTAATAGAATGGCCAAATCCAAAAGTGACGCCACCAAATGCTGGCAAGGAACTATTAAAATGTTTTTATTGATTTCAGAGAGGAAGGGAGAGGGAGATAGAAATATCAATGATGAAAGAGAACCACGCTCCCACTGGGGATTGAAGCATGACTTCTTGTTTCAGAGACTGACACTCAACCTCTAACCACCACCAGCCGGCCTGGTGAGGAACTTTCATTCATTGCTAGTAGGAATGCAAAATGCCACAGCCACTTTGGGAGTATTTGGCAGTTTCTCATAAAAGTAAACATACTCTTACGCATTTGATCTAGCAACTGCATTTCTTGGTATTTACCCAAATGAACTAAATATTTATGCCTACATAACAACTTGTACATGTTTAAAGCAGCTTTATTCAGTTGTCAAAACTTGGAAGCAAAGAAGTCCTTCAATAGGTGAATGGATAAACTATGCTACATCAAGACAATTATTTATTCAGCACTAAAAAGATGAGCTTTGTCCCAGCTGGCATAGCTCAGTGGTTGAATGCTGACCTATGATCCAGGTCATGGTTGGGATTCCCAGTCAGGGCACATGCCCGGGTTGCTGGCTTGATCCCATGTGGGGTGTGCAGGAGGCAGCTAATCAATGATTCTCTCATCCTTGTTTCTCTCTCTGAAATCAGTAAAAATGTATTTGAGGGGGGAAAAGTTTAAAAATAAAAAGAAACATCAAGCCATCAATGAAGACTGGAGAAACCTTAAATATATATTACTATGAAGGAAGCCCACCTGCAAAGGCTACAAACTGAGCCCAACTACAGTATGGAAAAGATCTGTGTCTAACTAGGGGTTAAGAGGGAGGGAGGACAAAGAGGCAGGGCACGGAGGACTTCAGGAACAGTAAAACTATTCTGTAATGATGGATACATGCCATTATACATTTGTCCAAACACCTAGAATGTACACCAAAAGTGAATCTCAACGTAATCTATGGTCTTTGGGCAATAAGGATGTGTCATTGTAGGTTCACTGTTGCAACAAATGTACTATTCTGGTGGGAGATGTTGACAGTGGGGGAATCTAAGGGGTGGGGTGCAGGCAGAGAATATATGGGAATTCTACTTTCTGCACTATTTTGCTGCAAACCTAAAATTGCTTTTTTTAATTTTGATTTTTTACAGAGAGGAAGAGAGAGGGATAGAGAATTAGAAACATCAATCAGCTGCCTCCTGCACACCCCTCACTGGGGATGTGCCTGCAACCAAGGTACATGCCCTTGACCAGAATTGAACCTGGGACCCTTCAGTCCTTAGGCCAAGGCTCTATCCACTGAACTAAACCGGTTTCGGCCTAAAACTTTTTTTTTTTTTAATCTATTTTTAAAAATGACAACTCTGATGGATTTGGAACAGTGAATAGAGCGTTGGCCTGCAGACTGAGAGGTCCCAGGTTCAATCCTGGTCAAGGGCATGTACCTTGGTTGCGGGCACATCCCCAGAAGGGGGTGTGCAGGAGGCAGTTGATGTTTTTCTCTTCTATGTTTCTCTCCCTCTTCCTTGCTCTCTGTGAAAAATCAACATTTTTTAAAAATGACAACTGGCATGCGACAGGGTAAGGGAGGCTGGGGAAAGGTGGGGGGAGGGAGGAGGAGATATATGTAGTACTATACATAATACTTAAAAAAAAAAAAAAAAAAAGACAACTCAGCTCTCTCCCATGCACCTTCTCTCCAAGGAGCACACTCATATGCCATTCCCTTTCTCCTTCCCCCTCAGGCACATATCCCTACCTCTAAGGAGCCCCATGATGTTGGGAGCCATCAGAGTTGAGACAAGCAACTCCGTCTTAAGGAAATAGAATTAAGTTCCTTCTAGCAGAAGTTATGCGGTGTCCAGAGGGTTTGGCCAGAAGATTAACCTGCCGCTTAACATCTTTGCAACTTCCCCTTCCTGATCTTCCCCCCCCCCCCCCCCCCCCCCCCCAGCTAGCCCAGCCTTGGAATGTTACACCTTGGAATGTTATGCCCCCTGGCAGTTAGCCAATCCTGTGTTGTCAGATACTTTACCACCTTGCCACTCAGTGCCTAAACCAATTATACACTGCCAAACACCCCTCTGCATAGGCAACCCTGCCCCCCTTTGTTGCTGCTGTATATATACAGCCATTTCAAAGAATAAAGTTGAGGCTTGATCAGAACCTTGTCTTGCCTCCATTCTTTCGCGTTCCTTGTTTCACTCTCTTAGGTGGTTCCTGCGTGCCCCCGTTGTTGCCCCGCGGGTCGGGACACCATGAGACTTGCAACCAGTGGCGAAATGGGCAGCTGCAGTGCATCCTGGGCTAACCCCCTGAATCTGTCTCCAAGGCTCCCTTTCCTCTGACTTCCCAGTGAGTCAAAGCAGCCCGACCATTGTCCGTCTGGGTCTCCCCTCCCGTCCCCCCAATCTGCTCCTTGTTTGGAATGTGTCTTCAATAAACTCCTTTACTTAGAAAAGAAAAAAGAAAAAAAGAAAGGACAACTCAGTGTTCAAGCATTTTATTATACAAGATAAGGAATATCCACATTGTTGCACATTCCAGCTTGTATACAATTATAATGGCATATCACTTGTTCACAAGATATAGCTGAGCAATAGGTTGAGAAGTTTAATTAAGCCATCATTAGCCAAGTAAGATTTCAAGAACATTCAAAGAGGAAACACAGTAAAGGTTATACAAGTTCTAGAATAGTGAATCATGACAGTTCACTCCTTTAATCCTTTACCCTAGAAATGTACATTCATATCTATAACCAGAAAAAAATATGAAGACCAGCAAGTATCACCAGTCAAATCTACATTTCATTCAGGAATAGTAAGCCTTTTACTACCTCTTTGAACTCCACCTTAACCATAGAAAGAGTTCTTAAAAGCAATTTACTGCTGTAAAATGTATGCCCATTATTCATAGTATGCCTTGAAGTCACTGAGCTTTTATTAAAGTATGATGATGAAGCATGATACTCAACCAGGAATCCCAGCAATGACCTTTTTACTTACCTACACTAAATATCATTCAAGATAAAACACTGTAAAGACTAAATAGACCCGAGTAGTGAAATAATTCAGTGATGCTGTAATAATCCAGTTCTATTATTAACTTAGGTAAGTGACACCAAGTTTAAAGAGCCTTAAGAGACCCTCTGGACTTTTTCTTAGGTGACAATATTGAACTGCCCAGGTAACAAACAGCTGATTAGAGTAGAAAACTAAGCCTTTACTCACGTAGTCTCAAACTTTTTGTTCCTATCTACATTAACTTATGACCACCATGTACTAATGGGTAGGTAGGAAGGTAGGAAGGAGGGTGGGTAGATAGGAAGGTGGGTGGGTGGGTGGGTAGGTAGGTAGGAAGGAAGGTGGGTGGGTGGGTGGGTAGGTAGGTAGGTAGGTAGGAAGGTAGAAAGGTGGGTAGGTAGATAGGTAGGTATGATCAAAGATCCTTTTGCAAGCCAGCTCCCCACATCCTTCACTCTCCTTCTCCCCTCCCCCCTCCCCACCTCCTATGCAAATTTCCCCTGCTTTAAGCTGAAAGGTCAATTCTGGATTCAAGCTTGAATGAACTAAGGTTATAGGAGATAACATGCATATAGGGGATAAAGTTAAATTCATTTGTCAATAGCAAACATTATAAATGTGTGCTACTATTCTGCTAAACAGAAGACCCAGAGAAACCATAAATGTAACATAACACCACATCAGGTTTAAAAACAACCTTTGAATCAACAAAAAGAATCTTGAAGGAAGTAGTTTTATTTTACCATGGTTGAATTTACCCACCAAATGTTTAATGACCACAAAATGTTTCTGCAACTAAAACTAAAAGATAGAGAATTATAGGGAGCTAGAAATATATGTTAGATACTAACGATCTTCAAGCTTTTAAGATGTCATTGCATGAAGAAAATTATGGGAAACACTGTTCCCGATAATTACGTACACCCTTAGTGTAACATATGGAGATCACTGTCTCCGATATAGACACTGTGGTAGGCAAAAACTACCTTGTTCTTTATGCATTATGGAAGACACTGCTCCCGATAATGTAAGTTAGGTTTGTGACAAAGGTACTGGAAATTTTGCAAATTTTGAACTAAAATTATATTTTGAATAAACTGATCTGTAAAATTTTCCTTGTAAGTGCTATCACAGCCTTTAAGTGAAATTAATTTATAACTTGGTCACAACTCAGTATTTTAGGGAAACAACCATTTTTAGCTACTTGGCTAAATAAAAGTCTAACTTGATTAGCAATCTCTAATTAAATTTAAGTCTCTAATATTTAGCTTTACATTTTTATTTGAGGCTGTTTTCTAAAACCCCATTTTCTAAAACAAGTATTGACCATTATAAATGCAAAACTTCCAGTATCTGTTGGGTTTTATTAGCAGATGCTGCTTTTATTTAAAAAAACAAAACAAAAACGACAGTATAACTGTCATAATTATGGAAGGCACTGCTTCCGATAATTATCTTCTATAAAAACCACCATTTATAGTGAACTCTGTCACTGATAAATAAACAATAAATATCTTGAGCCAAAATGATAGGAAGCTTTTCCAAAAAAAAGTAACACTTTGACCAAAATTTGGCAGTGTGTTCTTTAAAGTCTGACAAACTGAGCTTGAAATTAAACAGCTAAAACTGGTTCTATTTCAAAATATCTTGGAAAAAAAACAAACAAAAAAACTAAACAAGGCTTATGCGGTAAGGGACAGAAGGAAAGAAAATATACTAGGTCTTTGGCTTCTGGTCTCCTCTCTTTATAAATAGTCTTGAGGTTAACACATTAAGGCCTTGCTCCTGCGATAAACAGTCAAACTTTATTTTATGCAGCTAAAGGACCTCATTTGGGTCCTTTAGCTGTATAGGAGAGAAGTCCTATCTCTTCTGAAAGTTAACTTTCACCCAGGGATGAGGAAACCAGCTAAATCCTTAAAGAAGGCATAGATCTCACTTGGAGGATAAGTTCTTACAACCTGATATCTGCTATTTAGCATCAAATGCAGATGGAGGATTATACTAAGAGACCATGTTTATCACCTTCCTCCTCCCTTCAAGAGCCATCAGTGTTAATGTCTTTAGGATTTAGAGCAATAGTTCATGTAACTGGTATGACTTTTTTATAACTGTAACAGAAAAGAGGCAATTACCATTACAAAGCACTTAACATTTTAGAGAAAAACATTCTATCATGAACATTTTTCAGTGGTTATTCATTTGAACAGGTACCTACCCTGTATTAAAAGCTGCTGCCTAAAGACATCTAGTAGTACCAAGATGAATGGGTAGAAGTTTAACAATATTAGGTTTTGTAGCCCTACTGAAAATTTAGCACAACCAGCACAATTCACAAGTACCCTAAGTTAAGGGTATCACATTTAAAACTCATTGTCAATGTCCCAAATGTCACCGGAGATGGCATTTGCAGCTTCCTGAATAGTCCAAGTTGCTAAAGCCAACTGGTTTTTAAACAGTGTTTCGTTAAAAGCATTGATATCCTGTCGACGCAGTTTTATGTGCTCCACTAAAGCTTGGAGAGTGTGAGAGCCAGAGCCCCAGAAGATGTGTCGGAAAGGAGCATCTTTTGGTGATACATAGGGTGAGAGGAAGTTATATTCCACCTAAAAAACAAAACATACAAGAGTGTTGACTTTGATTGTGAAGAAAGAACCTGATACAGTAAAGTCACTGTCACTATCCCACTTCCAAATGTTCAATTTCCCTTAATTTAAGAATGCTGAGAACTAGGTTATTAATCTTCTATTAAAAGTGTAAAACTATGCCCTAACTGGTTTGGCTCAGTGGATAGCACGTTGGCCTACAGACTCAAGGGTCTCAGATTCTATTCTGGTCAAGGGCATGTACCTTGGTTGCAGGCACGTCCCCAGTATGGGGTGTGCAGGAAGGAGGGCAGCTGATTGATGTTTCTCTCTCATCGATGTTTCTAACTCTCTATCCCTCTCCCTTCCTCTCTGTTAAAAAAAATAAAAATAAAAAATCAATATATTTAAACAAAAAAACCCCTGTAAAACTAAATGTTAATTCCTCTGTAAAAGTGAACTCTAGTTGTATTTTTTTGTTGTTTTTTTTTTCTGCTGTTGGAGCACTCATCTGAAAGATTTACAATTTTCTGCTGTAAAAGAATCTTCTGCTTCTGCTTCTTCCAAGCAGCCTAAAGGCTGGATTAGACAACAGAAATGTAGAAAAAAATGACAGCTAAAATAATTAATGATCTCTTCTTTAAAGATGTGTTCATAGCCCAGCCAGCGTGGCTCAGTGGCTGAGCATCAACCTATGAACCAGGCGGTCATGGCTAGATTCTCAGTCAGGGCACATGCCTGGGGTTTCGAGTTCGATTCTTGGTGTGGGGCATGCAGGAGGCAACCAATTAATGGCTCTCTTTCCTCTCCCTCACCCCCGATTCCTTCCTTTTTTAAATCAATAAAATATATTAAAAAATAAAAATGTTTCGCAAGCCAAAAAAAAAAAGTAAACACTAGGTTAAATGTTTCTTATATTTCCAAGTTTGATATGTTGATGAGTTAAAATCTGTGAATTCTAAAGCAGCAAAGGATTCTAGGCTTCTGAAGTTGTACTTTTTAGAAATGCAAGGTTTACCAACTAAAATTTAACATATTTCTTCCTTTTCTAAGAGGTTACTTACTCTCATGATACGGTCATTGATTTCCCTCATGATAAGTCTGTCTGTTGTATCCGAATTCTTATAATCAGTTGTTAGTTTGGAAGTAGCACGATAAAAGTCTCCACGAGCAGAATATAACCACTGTAGACTCAGACCCATCTCCTGTAGCAAAAGACATTGCATTCACTATTAGATATTATATTCCTAAGGGAGTATCACTCTCGGTATCAAAAGAAACCCATACTAAAAAAAAAAAAAAAAAAATTTAACATAATCTACTTAGTCCAAGTATATAACTTTGTGTAGTATATTGTTTCCAGTTCAACTTCCCTATGGGAGAACACATGAAGCATTTTGGTTCAACAAACTTCAGAATCTAGTTATTTCCATCTGATTAGTTCTATTTTCTGATCAGTTATAATTTGTTTCAAGAAAGCCATAGTAAGACTTAGTTGTTTAGAGTGTTGTCCACCAAGGTTGCTGGTCGATCCCCGGTCAGGGCACATACAAGAGTCAACCAATAAATGAATAAAGAAGTGGAATAAAAATTGATGTTCCTCTCTCAATTTTTAAAAATTAAAAGGAAAGCCATAATAAGATTTGGTTATCAGTTTGAAAACTTTTGATTTTATCAAAAGTTTAACTATAATACAGAACGAATGCTAAATAGGACTGTAACTAACTACTGGCTATGTTCTCTCTCATCGTGTCATTCCAAAGGCACATATAATCTAAACTCAGGTTCAAAGTCATGGCTGGCACCTTTATTCTCTGAGTCCTAGCTCTTTATGGCTTGCTTGGAATACATGAACAATAGAAAACATAGTTCTAGATACTGATATACTTGCCATGGTCTATACCAGATCTATTAACTCCCACCATCCTTTTCAAATGAATTATGGATTCTAAGGAAAATATACCTCAGTTCACTTTAAAATGTATTTTAGTTACCAACCAAGTCTTTCCCCAGGAACAGTCAAACATCATTCTTCAAATTGCTTATTACTGCAGCATTAAGAACCGGGTTTTAATTAGTGCTCACCTTTTTTTTTTTTTTTTTTTTTTTTTTAAATATATTTTATTGATTCTTCACAGAGTGGAAGAGAGAGGGATAGAGAGCTAGAAACATCGATGAGAGAGAATCATCAATCAGCTGCCTCCTGCACACCCCCCACCGGGGACGTGCCCACAACCAAGGCACATGCCCCTGCCCGGAATCGAACCCGGGACCCTTCAGTCTGCAGGCCGATGCTCTATCCACTGAGCCAAACCGGTCCTGGCATAATTAGTGCTCACCTTTATGTCTCTTTTGAATTGGTTCATATCCCTCACAAATGAAAGCATTTTCTCGTTATACATTTCATAGTTCAGGTTCAATTCAGCATTGTGGGTAAGTTTAATTATGAGTTGACCAGCAACTTCTGCTGCTGCACGGGCCATTTTGTTCAACTGAGGGATGTTCTGATTCAGAAGCTCATAGGTATCCTGGGTAGTACCTAAGTAAGGATAATCTAAGTCCTGAAAAACAAAGCGAGGTTAATGTACTCAGATAGTGTAACATTCCAGTTACACTATCAAGGTAATAGGAATTATAATTCTTCCTTTGTTTCTAAAATATTTCTAACCCGTTTTTCTTATACTCTACTTTAAAAACCAACACTTTTGGTTACTTTCTTTTAACCTAACCTACTCCTCCAAGATGACTACTTTCTTCCAGGCTACAAAGAATTCATGTTCTATGTATTATATCAGACTAGGGGCCTGGTATATGAAATTTGTGCACGGGCGTGTGTGTGTCCCTCAGCCCAGCCTGCACCCTCTCCAATCTGCGACCCAACTCACAATCCAGGACGGCTGGCTCCCAAATGCTTGCCTGCGGCCTGCCCCAACCGCTTCTGCCTGCCAACCTGATCACCCCCTAATCACTCCACTGCCAGCCTGATCGATGCCTAACTGCCCTCCCCGGCAGGCCTTATTGCCCACAACTGCCCTTCTCTGCTGGCCATCTTGTGTGCACATGGGGTCGGCTATCGGAGTGATGATCAATTTGCATATTACTCTTTTATTAGGTAGGATACCCAGAAGAGATTTTTAGCCAGATTTCTCGGGTTATATCCTGTTATATTTGTTTTGGAAAGTTTGACTCATTTTAATGAGGAAAGAGGAAAGCATATGTGAAATGTTCTTTCAATATAAAGTGTTACTACTCTTAGATTATTGGCCAATAAGTAGACTGTTATTAAGGGTTCTTATTTAATTGAAGTTTTAGCAAATAAAATCAAATGCTAATTAGGCTAACTGAGACAATTCTATTGTAAAACTGATAAGGTAGCATACAACAACTGCACGTGTATAACTTCCTAAAAACATTGTAAGCACTCTAAGAAACTTATTCTCAAATTTGATGTAAGAAAATCAATATACAACACTTCAGAGTTCTTCACTTACCTCACAAAAACAGAAAGAAACTGCTGGGATTCCAGAATATGCAAGGAAAGGGTAAGCAGCATCTTCAAGAGAAAATTTTTCCCTGCAAGGAAAGAAGGTGTTTTTTAGAAAGTTTTCTGAACGGATAGTGCTACCCACCCCAAAAGTCTTAAAAGGAATCTCCTTAGGTTTAGGTAAGTTCACTGCAAAGTTACACAGACTCTGTCTTAACACAGTAGATGCTACTGCATGATTGTTATTGCTTTTCTATCAGCTGTTCATTCACTTGTCTCAACTTACACTTTGTTCATCCAGTTGCTATCCCGATATAGAGACAACCCAGTAACTGGATGTTTCACCTGTTAAATAAGAAATTAAGTTATCATTAAAATGAACCTTTCTGAAATATATTTCTCTTTTACAAACATTTATTAAAATATATTACATTTTTATTCTATCTCCTTTAAAAAATTTTAGGTCAAAACAATCTCAAATTTTTGAAGTTATTCCTACTAAAGCTTACCCTGCTAGTATCTTTCAGTTAAGGTGAGAGAAAAAAAACTTAACATTTTAAAGGTGGTTTAACCACAATTTTAAAAGCCCTCTCCTAACCTTCATGGCATGTCTATCTCATTTCTTCCTTCTAGCACATTTCATACTGCTGCTGCTAGCCCAACCTGCAAACACACGATTGCCTCACTGGAGACCCGATTGTAATCCCTAGTTTCCCCTGGGAGCAAGGTCAAGTTCCCTGACCCTGGTTCCCTTCCAACTTTAATCACCCCAATATGTAACCTCTAACTGTGGCAGGCAAATTTGGTTCTTTACTCTTTCAGAACTATGATCATTCACATGTCTGTCTCTATTCAATGAATATCTTATCTGATCATCTGATTTAAGTCTTAGGGATAGTTCTCTGTATTCCTAAACAGACTACATATTGTTTGTGATCAAAGCCCTTTGTATACCATTCTTATGGTTCAATAGGCTAGGGAAAAATAAGCCAAGAGCATGACTGAAATAACGCTGCTATAAAATTCTAAGTTCACTTTAGCTATCAATATTTTTCACTTTATGTGAATTAAGCAAAAAATTAAAGTTATATATTTTCATAATTAGGTATACACTTACTTCTTGCATTGTTCTCTCAATGAGTGAATACAACAATGGGCTGGCAGAAACCTTGAAGTTCTTGGTACCTGCAAAGAGATTATTCTAACATTGCACTTTCTCTAGTCAAGCAATTTTCACACTGCTACTTCGACAACTAAAAGTACTTAGCAAATAGGAAGACAGGAGGATAAAAACCAAGATGAGTGGCATATACAACCTATCCTCTTAATGAAGTAGATAAAAGTTCTTTAGTGACCATTAACATTAATTTGACTCAACTGAATCTCTTACTGTTTGAGTTTGCATACTTTAATGTTAATTTTTTTGTGTTTTTTTTGTTTTGTTATTGTTCATCCATGTTAAGGCAGTCATCTGCTAATTATAAGTAAGCTTGTTATATTTAAAACATTCTGCTGTACAAGTTAAATGACAATAATAAATCTAGTAAGATTTTGTTAACTCCCTCCTTTTTTGTTCCAATGGAAAAACATTTTATGCTTCTCATATATCCACTGGCTATACTTGCATTTTTAATTATATTTAACTTCTTTTAATTGGTATCTCTATCTATGATGCCACAATATCAAAAACTTTAAAAAAAATATATTTTATTGATTTTTTTTTACAGAGAGGAAGAGAGAAGGATAGTTAGAAACATCAATGAGCGAGAACCAGCTGCCTCTTGCACACCCTCACTGGAGTTGTGCCCGCAACCAAGGTACATGCCCTTGACCAGAATCAAACCAGGGACCTTTCAGTCCACAGGCTGACACTCTGTCCACTGAGCCAAACTGGTTTTGGCAAGAAACGTTTTAATAATAATTTTGTAACTGAATTTTTACAATATCCTGCTAAACATAATTATTAATAACAAACTACAATGTTGGCTAATGACTGATTACTATAATTTAATGGACAATTAAGAGAAAGCTACGTGAATCTTTTGATCTGGAAATGGCCAATGTAAATTGTAAAAAATAGTAAGTGTTGCTTTAGAAAGCTTTCTTTTGCTGTTTTATAATTAGTTTATCTAAATTCATGAATAGCTAATGAAATGTATACTCACCAAGAACAGCTTTATCCAGATTAATGTAAGTGAAAGCCTTTATATGCAAGCTGGAAAGGTATCCCTAGAAGAGAAGGAAAAATACTCATGTAGCAATCTAATTATCACACAAAGTAGCCATTATTAGGAGTTTCTTTTTAATTTGGATTCTATTGGGACTAATGTTCTATTGAGAGCATGGTTTCTGGAAGACAAGTTAAGACAGCACAAGTCTGGGTGTCATTAATACCTCCAGCCATTCAGTGGCACCCACAGCTCCGAAGTCACCAGCACTCCAGCTAGCAAAGACAATACTTCTTCTGGGTTTAAACCCGCCTGCAAGACAACAAAAGGTTAGCTTCATTTGGGGGAAAAGTATAGGCAGACAAAGTGACTTAAAGATAAAATCAGAAACTTCTAACTCAAGACAGATTAAAAAATTATTTTCCTTTTAAGGCCCCAGGTGAGAACAAATAAATTTTGAAAGTGATCTGCATGATCACATTATAAGGAAATAATAACTGCTGAATCACTATGTTGCACACTGAAGCTAATGTAATATTGTATGTCAACTATATGCAATAAAAATAAATGTTTACAAATTAAACAAAGTAATCTAGAAAGAAAAAGGTAGGTAATCATTTGCAAATAAGACTTTAAGTTCGCAGCAGGAACCAGCTTACTGAAAGGCACTTTTTTCAGCTCCATTCTTTGGAGTCCCTAACCTTGTGGACCAAGAATATTTGAAATCAGTGTATCTTATTTGAGAATAATTTGTTTAAAAGTGTGTAACTTAAAAATTGCATAAAAAACAGTTGTTGCCGGAACCGGTTTGACTCAGTGGATAGAGCATCAGCCTGGGGACCGAAGGGTCCTGGGTTCGGTTCTGGTCAAGGGCATGTATGTACCTTGGTTGTGGGAGCATCCCCAGTAGGAGGCGTGCAAGAGGCAGCTGATCGATGACTCTCATCGATGTTTCTAACTCTATCTCTCTCCCTTCCTCTCTGTAAAAAAAAAAAAATCATTAAAATATATTTAAACACACACACACACACACAAAACAAAAAACAGTTGTTATAAAACAGGGGTCTTCAAACTTCTCTCATTATGAGAATCACCTGGTGGAGGTGTTAAAACACAGATTCCTGATAACACTTCTTATAGTTGGGATCCGGGAATCTGTGTTTTAACAACTCCACCAGGTGATTCTCATAATGAGAGAAGTTTGAAGACCCCTGTATAAAATAAGATAAAAAAGATTAAATAATGTGGTGAAGGTTTGACGTGTGTGGGTAGATATAGAGAAGTGGCAAATACCATAGGAAAAAGGCTTCAAAGTGAGCTTTTGTTTATAACATACAAATGTTTTCCCATATTCATAAATATATCAAATTATACAAAAGTTTACAATCCTATAATAAAAGTAATATGCAAATCAACCAAATGGCAGAATGATCGGTTGCTATGACACACAATGACCACCAGGGGGCAGATGCTCAATTAAGGAGCTGTCTCCTCCCTCCATCCCCCCAATCCATGGCGAGTGCAGCAGCCCGCCTCATGGCAGTGCTAAAGGATGTCCAACTGCACCTTGAGCCATTCCCCCAAGGGTTCCCAGACTGCAAAAGGCAGGCCAGGCTAAGGGAGCTCCCACCTCCCCAGTGCAAAAATATTGTGAAACTAGTGAAACTATAAAACATTAATACAGAGATATGTCATTGCTTGCTTTCAAATAGATTCCTTGGGGGCCATGTTATCAATAGATTTACCACATCATTCTGGGTATGTCAAACTCAGAATTAGTGCCAAATATAACACTTTTCAGTATCTCAAAAGAAATGGGTGGGCCCTGGCTGGGTAGCTCAGTTGGTTAGAGCTGTCATTCCAGTAAACCAAGGTCTCAGGTTCAATCCCCAGTCAGGGAACATACAAGAATCAACCAATAATGCATTAATAAGTAACAGATGGTTACTAAACCTATCATTGTAATTATTTCATCAGACATAAAATGTCAATTCACTATGTGGAACACCTGGAATCAATTTGTATGTTAACTATATTTTTGAAAATCAAAAGAAGATACAACAGAAGATCTGCTTTACACTAAAGAACTCAATGTTTAGAAGGAGTGACAAAGGTAAAAGTGAGCAAAGCATGCTATACCATTTAAAACTATATGTAGCACATAGATATTCTCAACATTTGCACTCTACCTTGAAAGACCAAATCGGAGAATGTCTGGGCAAGTTCCAATAGAAGGGCTGTTCCCACACTGGATTTTGCAGCTCCAGGACCCCAGGCATCCCTCTGGGCCCCTACTACAATATAGCGACCTTAAAAAAAAAAAAAAAAAAAAAAATACAATGAGCTCTTAAATTATTAATAAGCATATTCATAGAAGGGTAAAAATTAAGTATATGCATTCAGGGTAAGAGAATCTTAGGACTTTGGGATTAAAAATTCGTATGACAATATTAATATTTTTCCTTATTAGTACTGGTTCTTTTTTTACATTATCAATTACCGTATTTTTCGGACCATAAGATGCACTTTTTTCCCCCCAGAAGTGGGGGGAAAAAGTTCCTGCGTCTTATGGTCCAAATATAGCCTACACATATACTTTAAAAAAAAAGTTTTTTTACTTGCCCGGCTCTGTGTGGTCTCTGTGTGCTTGCCCGGCTCTAAAATGGTTCTAAATGCTGCTGTTTACTTTACAGGGTTGATTACATGTGTTTATGACTGTGATGTTGGGTTTTAATGCACATAAAATATTTTAGGACACTATTTGTTTCAGAATCTTTTTTTCTTCATTTCCCTTCTCTAAAAACTGGTGCGTCTTATGGTCCGAAAAATACAGTAAGTTTACTCATCAACTAAGTATTTGTGCTCACTTATCTATACTAATAAAAGGGTAAGTATGCTAATTAAACCAGAAGTCCTTCCAGACAAAGCCACAGCAGCTGCAAGGGCCCTCCAGCTCCACGGTCTCTTTAGTAAAAGCCACGGGAGAAGGCACCGCAGGAGAAGGCAGAAGGTGGTGCCACGGGAGAAAGGAGAAGGCTGACCCCATGCACGAATGGGGTGAGAAGGCTAGCACCGGGGGAGAAGGGAGAATGGAGAAGGGGGAAGGAAGAAGGGAGAAGGTCAGCTGTGGGAGGGAGAAGGCCAGTGATGCAGGAGAAGGGAGAAGGGGGCAGTTAGGGGATGAGGCTAAGAGGGGAGAGCAGTTAGGGGATCAGGTTGGCAGAGAGCAGTTAGGAGCCAGTGGTTCCAGAGTGTGAGAGGGGTCCCAGATTGGACAGGGTGCAGGCTGGGCTGAGGGGACCCCACCCCCCGTGCACAAATTTCGTGCACTGGGCCTGAAGTCCTATATAATAAAAGGCTAATATGCAAATAGACCAAAAGGAGGAACGACTTGTTGCTATGAAGTGCACTGATGGCCAGGGTGCAGACACTCAATGCTGTGTCAGTGCACCTCAACACGGGGAGTGCGACTCAGTCAGAAGCTGGACTCACAGCTGGTGAGCACAATGGTGGTGGCAGGAGCCTCTCTGCCTCCACATCAGGTGGACATCCCCTGAGGGCTCCCAGACTGCAAGAGGGTGCAGGCTGGGCTGAAGGACAAATTTCAGGTCTCTAGTTTAACAAGCAACTGAAGTCCAAGGATTTCCAATACTCAATGATATGACGATTTGAATTATTAAGTCACAATGGTCAATTTTTGACAAGTTACTTTCCTGGGGCTTTATTTAGCTCCCAAGGAAACTGATAGCTACATGACTCACTTTAAGACATACAAGAGTTAGCTTTTCACAAAGCCAAACCAGCCTTCATACACTCCCTCCTCTGGCCACATGCTTAATAGGGAGAAAACCAGAAATACATAAGTAGAGCAATAGACACAGTTAGGTAGAGAAATCAGGGGTCTTTACCTGGTTCTTCAAAACCTTTAATAACACCAAAGGTATTAAAAATTCTTATCTCTTTCTGTACATTGTTCACAGTGAGTTTCACCCTCCTATTCTCTGGGGTTTCCAGCTTACATATAGCACCCGCTTTCCAATTTGAAGGACAGTCTCCTTCCATATTTCTAGAAGTAAAAAAACAAATCAGCATTGAGTTACTGCTGCTTTTCCCAGGTTTACAAAATCAGTCCTTCTTATATCCAGTATAGTTCTAGGTTAAAAGGTCATACTGTATAAGAGAACATACAAAATTTACTCTCCAGCGGCTATGTTTCTTATTCTGACCTGTAGACAACCATGAGTTACTTCCTGTTTAAGTACAATATTCTTACCTTCTTCTTCTGATGTGTTCCTTTCTGCCAGAGAGTAGTTATAGTTTACTTTTTTTTAATAATCATCAGCTTTTTTTTAAAAAAATATTTTTTTATTGATTTTTTACAGAGATGAAGGGAGAGAGATAGTTAGAAACATCGATGAGAGAGAGAGTCATTGATCAGCTGCCTCTTGTGCCCGCAACCAAGGTACATTCCCTTGACCGGAATCGAACCTGGGACCTTTCAGTCCACAGGCTGATGCTCTATCCACTGAGCCAAACCGGTTTCGGCTATAGTTTACTTTTAAAATATATACCAAGATGGACTCAGAATGAAGTTCTTATATAAAAGTCCATTAATATATTCCCATGTTTGCCCTAGCTGGTTTGGCTCAGTGGATAGAACATCAACTTGTGGACTGAAGGGTCCCAGGTTTGATTCCCAGTCAAGGGCATATGTCCAGGTTGCGGGCTTAATCCCCAGAAGGGGGTGTGCAGGAGTTGGTCAGTCAATCAATGATTCTCATCATTGATATTTCTATTTCTCTCCCTCTCCCTTCCTCTCTCAAATCAATAAAACATATATTTTAAAATAAAAGAGTGACTTGAAAGACCTTTAAAATTTACACACACACACACACACACACACACACACACACACACACATATATATATATATATATATATATATATATGTAATGTATCCCCACATTTACTAACTCCACTAACATGGGTAGTATATGTATAGAGGCTATCTCAGTTATAAAAGAACTAGAGGCCCAGTGCACAAAATTTGTGCACTCGGGGGTAGGGTTGGGGTGTCCTTAGCCTGGTCTGTACCCTCTCAGTCGAGGAGCCCTTGGAGGATGTCTAACTGATGGCTGGCTTAGGCCTGCTCCCTCTGGAATCAGACATCCTTAGTGCTGCTGTGGAGGCAGAAGATGCTCCTGTCACTGACGCTGTGCTTGTGAGCCCAGCTTCTGGCTGAGCAGGACTCCCCCCGTGGAAGCACACTGACTACCAGGGGGCAGCTCCTGCATTGAGTGTCTGCCCCCTGGTGGTTGGTGCATGTCATGGTGACCAGTCCTTCCACCGTTGGGCTGAAAACAGCTTTCCGACACTCACCAAGAGGTCCCAGATTGTGAGAGGGTGCAGGCCACGCCGAGGGACCCCAATGGTGCACAATTGGGGCTGGGGAGGGATGCAGGAAGTTAGCCAGCCAGGAAGGGACCATGGGAGGGCTCTAGGGTATGTCCAGCCAATCTTGCTCAGTTCTGATTGGCCAGATCCCAGCAGAAAGCTAACCTACTGGTCGGAGTGTCTACCTGCTGGTGGTCAGTGCATGTCATAGTGGTTGGTCGACCAAATGACTGTCTGCCCCGTGGTGGTCAGTGCATATCATAGCAACTTGTTGAGTGGCCTTAACATATCATTAGCATATTATGCTTTGATTGGTTGAACGGCCAACTGGATGACTGGACACTTAGCATATTAGGCTTTTATTATATTGGGTATTCTCAGAGAAAAATAAGTATCACATGATCTCACTCTTATGTGGAATCTAATGAACAACATAAACTGAAGAACAAAAATAGATCTAAAGACACAGAAGCACCGAACAAACTGTCAAACCTCAGAGGGAAGGTAGGGGAGGGTGGGCAAATGGGAAGCGATTAACCAATTAACTTGTATGCATATATGCATAACCCAGGAACACAGACAATAGTGTAAAGGTCTGGGTAGTGGGTAGGGGCATGTACCAAGAGTTCACCAGTTTGATTCCTGGTCAGGGCAAATGCTCAGATTTCAGGGTCGATCCCCAGAAGGGAGTGTGCAGGAGGCAGCTGATGGATGTTTTTCTCTCATTGTTTCAATCTCTCTCCCTATTCTTTTCCTCTCTAAAAACTAAAACATAAAAAAAAGAGAAAGAAAATCCAGAACTAATGAGTATTATAGCTCAACATGAATCCCAACAGATCTTTTCCAATAATTGAATGGGTTGCAAAACACAGTAAATATTCAAACAGAGCTATGCTAGGTATATTGTACAAGGAATTCACTGAGTGAATTGAACAAGGACTCCTTGAGTTTATAAATCCAAGGTCTATCATTAATATCACTTTATCTTGGAAAATTTCAGTTTTTTATCTATACCAAGTGAATAGCTATCCATCCCCAAAATGTCCCAAATGTGAAGAACAATAGCCAATTGATTTAAGACTTTATCAAATCAACTTTATCAATTCTCCTTAATCATCAAGTCTCACCCTGCAAGGCAGTTTTCAAATAAGAACTTACTCAAACAGTTTCTCTACAGCAGTTCTGGTAATGGTTTGGACAGGTATATTAGGCAATCCTGATGACTGAGATGGTGGAAACTGAGTATGATTGAAAGAAGGGAATCCTGGTGTATAAGGGTCACCTGTTCCCAAATGAGCCTAGTAAAACAAAAGAATAATCATCTCTATTAGGTACTTATTCAAGACATTTCCTTGTAAGATTCAGATTGAGTGTGAGGCTATATCACATTCAAGTCCCTAAGTGTGAGTGGATCTATGATACATGATGCTTGCTTTTTATGGCATGTGCCAAATTCAATTCAAGACACTACAAGTCTCCCTCATCAGTGGGAAATATATTCTAAGACCCTAGTGACTAGGATCTAGTGGATGCTTGAAACTGTGGATGAATACTGAATCCTACATATACTATATACATATACTTTATTGCTTCCTCTTTGGCATATACAAACCGCTAGCATCCCCACTCTTGCACTTTGGGGCAATTACTGAATAAAATTAAGCTTTCTTGAACATAACCACTGCAATACCATGCCAGTCAAGCTGATAACGAAGGTGGCTACTTAGTGACTAATGGGCAAGCAGTGTATATAAAATTGATACACTGGACAAAGGGATGATTCTAATAGTAGGCTGGACAGACTGGGATAACTCAAAAATTTCATTATGTTACGCAGGGCAGCACACACAATTAAAAACCTATGAATTATTTCTGGAAGTTTCCATGTAATATTCTCAGATCACAACTGACAGTGGATAACTGAAAGCAAAACCGTGGATACTAAGGGACTAGATTATACTGATAAAGTACATTTAGCAATAAGTAGCAACTAGGTTTCAATGTCATATAATTTACCTTCTTGCTTACTGCTAAAACTCTCCCAGACAAAAGTATTTAAGGAAGGCACAGTTTTATTTCTACTAATGTAAGTGAAATCTAGCAGTAATTTAGAGAACCCAAGAACTCATTTGCTCAAAAATAATAACTCACATGTCCAAAGAGTGGAAGATTTGCATTAGAAACAGGAAATGTAGTATAGTCCATGTAGATCAAAACACCAATTGCATTTAAACTTTCAGCATTTGCAACCTAAAAAACAAAACACAAAGCTCAGAATACGAAGAACTAATCATATAAATTTAGAATACATACTAGACTTCATGCTATCTGACAAAGGGTTACAGAGGTAACATCCACGCTCCCTATATTCAAAATGGCTTATGTTTAGAAAAAATGTCTTAAGTAACTAAGAGTTTAGAAGAGAAATAATAAAAACCCATCCAAAATAGTTGCTGTCTTGATATGTTCCATTCTAGCTCCTTGAGTATGACTTTTAATTTTCATTTTCATAAAACCTACTTATTATTGATGATATATATATATATATATATATATATATATAAAACTTTGTTATATAGGTAATTTAAACAGCTTTTAGTGAAGCATTTTTGATGAGTTCATTTTCACTGAAAGATAATGGCTACAAAATAATCCAAGTGGATATGCCAGTTTTGAAGTATCCTACTGACTTTAGATAATTGGTATTCACTGAGTACTTTAATAATTTATATTATCAGGTATGAGCATTTAAGATCACTTGTTTTCAGAATGTAATAAAATAACGTTTAACTGAGAAAGATGACACCAATATATAACTCATACTTACCTTTTCAGCAAAGGTGATTTTCCCTGCTCTAACAAGCACTAAAGATCCATTCACAGAAGTGCTTAAAGCCTCAAAGTCTTGTTTAGTGCCAAAATTAGCATGGACCAGTTTACCCTAAAATAAAGACATTAAGCTTAATGAGCATTAGGATATTAGAACAGCCACAGAGTCTAAGGCAGAATGGTTTTACAAATCAAACTCAAGACAGGGTAAAAGCAGACCAGGACCTAGAAAGGACACATGTGACTTCTAAAGTCAAAAGTAGCCAGGGAGCCAAAACCGGTTAAGGGCATGTAGTACGTTGGTTGCGGGCACATCCCCGGTAGGGGGTGTGCAAGAGGCAGCTGGTCGATGTTTCTCTCTCATCGACGTTTCTAGCTCTCTATCTCCCTCCCTTCCTCTCTGTAAAAAATCAATAATATATATATATATATTTTTAAAAAGTAGTCAGGCAGAGCAGCATAATCTACAATAGCTAGAATCTGGAAACAGCCTAGGTGCCCATCAGCAGATGATTGGATCAAAAAACTATGGTACATCTACACAATGGAATACTATGCTGCCATAAAAAAGAAGGAATTCTCATCATTTGCAGCAACCTGGATAGAACTAGAGAACATTATGCTGAGTGAAATAAGCCAGTCAATAAAAGAGAAATACCACATGGCCTCACTCATTTGTGGACATTAAAAAACATTATAAACTGACAAACCAAGATATAAAGACAGTAAAGCAACAAGCAGACTGTAAAATTACACTAGGGAGATCTGGGGGAGATAAGAGATCAACCGAAGGACTTGTATACATGCATATAAGTACAACTAATGGACACAAAACTCTGGGGAGGGAGGGTATGGGGGGGGGGCAATGTTAAAATATGTACACAGATAATAATTTAATAAATAAAAAAAATTAAAAAAAAAAAAAAAAGTAGTCAGGGATGCCTGACCATTGTGGCTCACTGGTTGAATATTGACCCATGAATGTCATGATTTGATTCCTGGTCAGTGCACATACCCAGGTTGCAGGCATGATCTCCAGAAGGAGGCAGCCATATTGATGATTCTTTGCCATCAATTATGTTTCTATCTCTCTCCCCCTTCCTCTTCTGAAATCAATAAAAACATATTTTCTAAAAAAGTAGTAAGGGTTATCAGGAATGAAATCAACATTTCTGGTCTCCTACATTCATTTTTTCATTATCCCACGCTATCTTTAATCGACATTGATATATTTAGATTAAGTAAAGTAATCTATTTTACATTTCTTCAGACATCTTGGGGGAAAAGAAAGGATAGCAAGATACGTTAAACACAGAGATATATACAATATAAATATTGTAGGCTAGCCATGGCAACACCAATTACATAATGGTCTCATACTTAAACCCCAGACTAAAAACTCATAGGTAACCAGGCAAAGCGACACAGCACAAGTTAAGCAGGAAGACAAGAGAACAATAAAACTTCATCTGGCTTAAAAGGCATCTACTAGAAAGGTCCCTGACATATGTATATGTGGCCTTATAACATGAAAAACATAGACAGAACTATTCAACCAAGCAGTTTTTTAATTTCTGTAATAGTTGGGCCATATTTACCTAAATTCCATGATATCAAGCATTAAAGAATCAAGCTAAGTCAAAACCGGTTTGGCTCAGTGGATAGAGCATCTGCCTGTGGACTGAAAGGTCCCAGGTCCGATTTCGGTCAAGGGCGTGTACCTTGGTTGCGGGCACATCCCCAGTAGGGGGTGAGCAAGAAGCAGCTGATTGATGATTCTTTCATCAATGTTTCTAACTCTCTATCCCGCTCTCTTCCTCTCTGTAAAAAATCAATAAAATACATTTAAAAAAAGAAAAAGAAAGAATCAAGCTAAGATTGGTTGTAGCCAAGATGGTATTGATCTGTCCCCACATAAGAAGAAATCGGATATATGCAAATACATATCTGCAAATACATATATGCAAATAATATTACCATGTGTCAGGCACTGTACAAAGCTCTAGGACGTAGAAATAAATGAAACTAACTCCTAGCTCTTTATATTCCAACTAGAGGCTGGGCACATGAAATTGTGCATGGGGGTGGAGGTTGTTTGTCCCTCAGCCCAGCCTGCACCCTCTTCAATCCGAGACCCCTTAAGGGATGTCCAACCACCCATTTAGGCAGGCAGTTAGACATCCCTCCCACAATCCAGGACTGCTGGCTCCCAACTGCTCACCTGCCTCTGCCTGACTGCCCCTAACCACTTCTGCCTGCCAGCCTGATCACTCCTAATCACTCCCCTGCCAGCCTGATCGACAATTAACTGCTCCCCGGCCAGCCCAATTGCCCCTAACTGCCCTCCCCTTCAGGCCTGGTCCCCCCCCACCCCCAACTGCCTTCCTCTGCTGGCCCGGTCATCCCTAACTGCCCTCCCTGCTTTCCTGATCACCCCCAACTGCCCTACCCTGCAGGCCTGGGTCTCCCCCCCAACTGCCCTCCCTTGCTGGCCTGGTCTTCCCCAATGCCCTCCTCTGCCAACCTGGTCACCCCTAACTGCCTACAACTGCCCTCCCCTATAGGCCATCTTGTGTCTTGGAGTGATGGTCAATTTGCATATCACTCTTTATTAGATTATTAGATAGGATGTAGAATCAAATAAATGTCTGGTGCTACATAAAGAAGAAATAAAGCAAGGTATGAGAAAGTGATTAGAGGAAAGACAGTTTTGATAAGGTAATCAAGGAAGACTTCTATAGGGAGGTAATCTTCTATATATACACATATAAAAGGCTAATATGCTGTGTCTGACCATTCTATCAGTAGTTATGATGCACACTGACCACCAGGGGGCAGATGCTCGACACAGGCATAGAAACATGGAACAGATTGATGAATCTCAGAGGGAAGAGGGGAAGGCAAGAAGACATTAACTAAAGATCTTATATGCATACTATGAGCCCAGTGCACAGATTCATGCACCAGTGGGGTCCCTCGGCCTGGCCTGCGGGGGGTCAGGGATCGGGCCAAAACCGGCAGTCCAACATCCCTCGAGGGCTCCTGGATTTCGAGGGCGCAAACCAAGGGACCCAACTGGTGCACGAATCTGTGCACTGGGCCTCTGGTATTAGATATGAGAACAGCTCAACGGCACTTCCCCCAACCCTGAATAGGACTGTCTGCTGCTAGACAGCTCAGGGCATTTTATTGCCTCCTGTTGGCCAAATACCTGAACAGTTGTAGGCTATTCCCCAAACTGACAATGATCTGTACCCTACCCTTTGAAATGTTTTATCTCCACCTTGCCTTAGGACAAATTATGTTAATAAACAGCATGGAAAAAGAAAATAGCACGGGCCAAAACCAGTTTGGCTCAGTGGTAGAGCGTTGGTCTGCGGACTGAAAGGTCCCAGGTTCGATTCCGGTCAAGGGCATGTACCTGGGTTGCGGGCACATCCCCAGTAGGGGGTGTGCAAGAGGCAGCTGGTCGATGTTTCTCTCTCATCAACATTTCTAGCTCTCTATCTCTCTCCCTTCCTCTCTGTGAAAAATCAATAAATTAAAAAAAAAAAAAAAGTACGGGCTCCTTAGTTGAGTAGTCTTCAGTTCCTTTAGCTGAAGTTCCTTTTACCTGACCCCCAATGCCTTTCAAAATTATCTTTCGTCTTTGGATTCCTTCTTGAATCTATGCATCAGTCCCTTTCTCCTGATTGGTGAACCCTTTGTAAGGGTGGGACAAGAACCCTAGCAAGAGCACAGTGAAGAAAAGGGAGAAGTAGGATTACTTAGAGCCTTGCCAACCAAGATGAAGATTTGGAATTTCATTTTAACCATGGCATAGGAGGGTTAAGAATAAGAATATCTCATGACCAGTTACATTTTATAAGTAAATTTATACTATAACTCCTAAGAACAGTAAAGACAATGAGCTTGTGAGCTATTCAACAGAAAGGGGAAAAAAAAGTCATGCAGTATTTTGTTTTACTTACAGTAACTGTCCCAGCCTTACTGTATGCCACGTAACCCTGAGGGTTCTCCACAAGGAATCCTGAGTCTTGTTTCCCATTCATTAGTGTCACTGAGTTTGGATTACTGTTTAAAAGATTGTGTTAAAATGAAGCTAAGACCAGCATTGGGGAAAAAAATTAAATAGTTTTAATACATTTAGTCTTTGCTATATTTATCATTAACTAAAGTAGCTACTTCTATAAAATAAGTTTACCATCTTTCAACATACCTGCTTTTGACCTGAATCTTAACAAAATGTTCATTATGCCAGGCTTTGCTGAATTGAAGTTTACGGAATTTATCTTCAATATAAAAAGCAAGGTTTGTATCTTTTTGAGATCCAGCCTCACGAGGAACATAAGAATTTTCATTCAGCTGCCTGGATGAAAAAATGTCACTGTTAAAATAAACATTAAACTAAAAATGATCAAATAAATTGTTTTTTAATTGAGAGAACATACATAGGTTTCAGGTATAGACCATTATTTTTAACTACTTTAAAGTATTGTGAAATCCCTGGAAGCAAAACTGCTTATTATGACAATATTTACTTCAACCATAATGCCTAATGTACAGTATATACAAAAGTATTCATCAGATGGGATAAAAATGCCAATATTTCTAATTTAAAACTAAAAAAAACTATTGTACCATTGGAAGTTAGTAAAGCTAGAAAAAGGTAAAATATAAATTTGTCCTTTACAGTGTTAGATATGTGTGTAAGGAAGAATTTAAAAATCTAAGGATCGCCCTTTTGTGGCTCATTTGGTTGAGCATGGACCATGCACCAAAAGGTTGCTGGTTGATTCTCTGTCAGGGCACCTACCAGGTTGTGAGCTAGATTCCCTGTAGGAGGGTGCAGGTGGCAGCCAAATGATGTTTTCCTCTCTATATGTAATCAATTTAAAAGTATCTAAGGACAGAAACCTTTACAATACTTCTTAAGGCATGGATTAATGACTGAGAACCAGAAGAAATCAAGGAATACTAGACATGTCAATTAGTCTCAACCAAGAGAATCATCGGTTGGCTGCCTCCTTGGGGATCGGTCCCACAACCTGGGAATGTGCCCTTGACTGGAATCAAACCTGGGATCCTTAAGTTCAAAGGCTGATACTCTATCCACAGAGCCAAACCAGCTAGGGTGGACCTGTAAATTCTTTTTAAGAAAAAGGAGAGTCCCCACAAAAGTTCTACTCTTTTCCCTATCAACATAGTTTGACTACTTTACTGATTCCTTTACCCTCTAACAAAACATGGGAAGTCTCCCCTACTCTATAAAAAGCCTTTCCTCCAGAAGGTCACCTTTGTTTAGATACTAAGGTCGAACTTGTGAAGTTGCTCAAACTTACCTGATTGTGTTGGTGAACTCTATGGTATCCAGTTTCTTTGACAACATTGCTTTGAGGTCTGACCAAAACAACTGGGGAGATACTTCAGGCCGGCTCTCTTCAACTTCCCCTTCAGTCTCTATCTCTGGAGGCTCTGCTTTCTCACATTCAGTTTTTGACTCTACACGTTTACAATAGCCCAAATAGCCAATCAAAAATCCTAAAGATGAAAAATTACAGAGCTGAATTCATAGAATTTTATTTATAATCTAATCCTATAGGGATTAAAATATTATGTTTTGAGAATACTGTTTTTAATCTAATTTAAAGCAGTTAGAAAGGAATCAATGTATGTTTTATATATTTTAAATCATTTAATCTAATAAATTACAAGAACTTTATTTTAAAGTTACCTTTTTAAAGCATGGGAGTATTTTCTTCCCAGTAGCCTTCCTTGAATCCTTAGGCCAAGCTTCTATGCTACAAATATCCTGAGCGCATTTCTAGTCTAACATTTGCACATTACACTGAAATGATTCATGTGCCTCGTTCTCTGACCAGGCTAAACTCAAAGACAGGTATAGAGTCTTAATTATTGTATTTCTACTACCTTGCACAATGGCACACAAGAAGGTACAATATAAATGTTTGCTGAATTGAATTAACAACTTGGTGACAAGAAACATTTAAGTTTTAAATGGCACTCTTACCAATCAAGAAAAAGATGATTACAGCAATAGTCCCACAGCAGAGAAGTCCATTAAGCCTTTTCCGTTTTGCAGTGTGAGCACGATTACCCCTCATGTTATTGTCAGTATCTTCTTCATCTGCAGCTAGTTTCATCTCCACACGACTGTTATCGCCATCTACTTGCCGTGTGAGACTAAACCGGCTATATGACAACGGATCTCCACCAAACTGAGATTTTTTTAAAAAAATAAAGAAAGCATTAAGAAGGGAGTAGGAACATTAACAAAAACATTTGGTCAAACAATATACTTATTGGGCCATTACTATGACTTACGATATGTTCTTAAGGAAAAAGAAGTCCCTGCCCTAGCTGATTTGGCTCATTGGATAGTCGGCCTGGGAACTGAAGGGTCCTCAGCCAATTCCAGCCAAAGACACATACCTGGGTTGCAGGCTCAATCCTGACCCTGGTAGGGGTGTGGGGGCAACCAATTAATATGTCTCTCTCATGTTGTCTTCTCTGTCTCTCCTCCCTTCCACTCTCTCTAAAAATCAATGGAAAAAATATCCTGGGGTGAGGATTAACAACAACAAAAGCAGTTCCCTTTTCAAACCAATATTCTTCTGTGCACCCAGTTCTGTCAATGGCAGGTTATGGCTAGAACATATACTGGCCTTCTTCATCTCCTTCAGCCTTTTCATTCAGGTTTGGTTATGTAAATACATGTTGATTTATGCTTTTAGTTCTACTTGGCAGTTCCCTCCACAATGCCCCAAATACCCTAAAGTCCTGACAAGATTTTCCATAATTAATTCTACCCAATACTAAATACTATATTCTTCTTTTGTGGGATGAGTTATGCCTGGTGATTACCATTTCAAATGTAAATGAATACCTGATAACAGCTTTGGATTGTATTTCATGCTTACTTGGTCAAAGTCATTATTGCATACTTCACATTCTTACAAACTATTGACAGAAATATAAACTTAAAATATCTTACCAAGTTGGAGAATGCTGATCTGGCTTGATCCATCATTCTGAGTTGCCACACAGAAGAGCCTAGTAATAAAATAGAATTATCCTAATGAGATAGATGCCATTGTATCTAAATAATAAAGGCTTTTTATTACCACACTAAATTATGTATCAAAGTTACTTTAAAAAATTTTTAAAGTATTTTAATCCTCCCACCCATCCCCAACTGGGGATTGAGCCCACAACCCAGGCATGTGCCCTGACCAGGAACTGACCATGACCTGCTGGGTTCATAATCGACATTCAATTACTGAGCCATGCCAAACAGGCTCAAATTTACTTTTAAATATTATCACCTTTCTAGAAAGGGCTTCTCACCAAGATATTTAGTTTATGACAACTAAGCTTATTGCAATCTTTGATCAGATATCAAATTGAGGTACAATGGGTAGACAGCCTCAAGAACATTATTGGGAGAGATAAGAAATGTCAATATATATCATATACTGGAACAGTATTGCATCTTAGATTTGGGGAATGTGATAATGGTATTGCGTTTTTGGAGATTAATGGGTAAAATTTTAAGGATGAGGTATTATAATGCCTGTAACTTTCATTTAAAAAGTATATAAGAATTAAAGCAAATGTGGAAACAGTTAATGACTGATGTGTCTAGGTAAAGGGTGTATGAATATGCATATTACTGCTATTTCATTTTTTCTTGTGGGCTTGAAATTTTTTCAAAAATAAAAAACGTGGGAAAAACTAGTTGACTATCATTTATGGTATGTAAATTTATGTAACTGAATTTAATCAAAGGGACAATACAAAAGAAATAAGACTGGCACCTAAAAAAAACCAACAAAGCATCTCCAATAGAAAAGGAGAGAAAACCTGATCCTTCTGATTAAATGAACAGTTCCTATAAATGATATATAGATCTTTGATGCAAAAAGAATACACAAAAGGAAAAACATAGAGTATGCTATTTCCTAGATGAAGAGCCAAATTATCTGAGCGGTTAAGTGACTTGTTCAAGACTGAAAAATTATAATCTAAAAATGAAATTCAATGTGTTACTGGGTTATAGAAATTGTGTTCTCGCTTCTAAAAATATTAAGAAACTAATCTTAACTTTTTCCAAAGAAAAACACCTCTGTAGCCAATAAAATCCTATGTTAAGTTAAAACATGATTATTAACTGAAATCTGGATTTTTAATTTGGTTTGAGTGCATCTACACACTGGAAAATGATACTTATGTTGAGATGTATAAAATGAACATTTATACCATACTACCTATTTTATGGCTTTTTCGATACTATCAGTACACTTACAGCACATTTAACACCTACATGACACAAAGCAAGTTGTGAGATATATGCAGACTGTAAAACAAAAGATATTATATAAATTTAAATTAGAAAAAGTCTCCTATCAAAACCTATAACACATTTTATTTAAGGCTGTAGCTTTAAATAAAGTGTTATAGGTTTAAGACCAGAGCCAATAACCAATAAATAGATCATATTCTTAGAAGCACCATCTCTTGCCCCATCTGGCACAAAATGCTTATCACTATTGCTGCACCAGAACTGCCCTAACCCAATCACTAGAGCCAGAACTAGAAGGCCCCACCCTGAACCAATTTTAATCATCCTTTTCTAGGAAAAAGCAGCTTACTTTAATGCTCATCAGCCATTCCTCAAAGTTTCTAGTTTGAAATTAATTTTAACACTAAAGTGACAACATATTTTTTAAAGTGATCTAAATAAAGGATTTAAATAAATAATGAGATTGGTTCCAAGTCTACATTAATAAAACATCTAAGGACGGTTTTGTATATAATTAAAATCAAAGCATATTTTTTACTGAGAAAACAGGTATTTCTATTTCAATCCCCAGGTACAAAATTAAGGCTATAACAAAAGAAATCAAGTCAGAGAAAATAATTATGACCTAGGCAATTCCTATTTTTAACGACCTGTGAAGAATATAATGCTATATCCACAAAAGTTATTCCCGGAAGTTTTACATACAGCAAATTTGAGTCCTTCTTTTAAAATTACCTCACATACCCATTCTGTTTCAAATAAAATAAAAAAATAAAAACTGCCAAAAACAGAGTAAAGACTTCTATTTAAAAGAACCCCTTAATGAATTTTATTCCAACTGAAATCATTAATTTAAATATTCTAAAAGCATGGGAGAGAAACTTTCTAAACTAGTTGCAATAACACTATCATATCTATAAGCACATGCAGAAACTCTTATTTGGCTTATTTCAAGATATCACCACCAATGCTGATAATCTATTACAAGAAACAAACCAGCCCTAAACAGTGGTTCAGTAGACAGAGTCAGCCCAAGGACTGAAGGGTCCTGTGTTCTATTCCAGTCAAGGGCATGTACCTCGGTTTCAAGCTCGATCCCTAGCACTGGTCAGGGATCCCTAGTACTGGATGGGAGGCAATCAATTGACATGTCTCTCTCACATGTTGTTTCTCTATGTCTCTCCTCCTCTCTTCCACTCCCTAAAAATCAATTGAAAAATATCCTTGAGTGAGGATTAACAAAAAGAAATAAACCAAACATTACCTTGATTTTTATTCAGATGAGCACCTGGTATACCTTGGTGTTAACAATAAATGGGACAACTACTCAGTTGCTCACATTAATAATGATAATTAAGGTAAGCAAAACAGAGCCCCCTTGTTTCTGAACATGAAATGGAAAAGAGGATCTGAAATGTTTTCAACTGATCCATGGAATGGAAGGCAGGAGACAGGCAAAGGTAGTCGACTACAATCTCAAACTTCTTTAAAATTCAAACATTGTTCCCACTTTCTTTAATGTGGCATTAATTTATATTTAATTTTTTAAATACAGTAATTATCTTGAGGTCTTAAGCTCCTCTGGGGTGTCTCAAAACCAGAAGGCAGGAACTAAACTATACTTTCGCCTATGTACAGCACTCAAAGCTGCTATTCCATTTTACTTGAAATAAAAACAAGACACTTGTTATCACTGAAAAGAGGCCCCAGTTCCAAAGTCCTTGGAGCCAGATAAAGTGAAGCTCCTTTGCCTGCTGACGCTGTTCTAGAGGCCTTCACTACCCAATACTTCCCTGCCCTCTATTTTCTGCACGTGAAACAGATGCCAGTCATGCCTTTACCCGCTAACATTCTTTCCCTGTTCTTGAAGTCCTACTCATGGGCCATCTCCGTAATGCCTCTTCTGTTTTGCTTATCCTAAATAATACTTGAAATGGAATTACATGGTACTGAGATCCCATTTTTTAATATAGGGGCATGCCTAATGTATGAAGTTCGTTTGTTATATCACTTGGAAATGATAAGAATATAATGAAACCTGATATCTGGAATTTTTTCTTATACGTCACTATTCTATTTTATCCCGAAATCACTAAGCAAAGCTTGGATGGTAGGGAGATGTTTAAAAGTAGAAAACTTTAATGCTTACATGGGTAAGGCTCCAAGACCTCAAGCAATTGATAACTGATACCCATTTTGCAAAATATTTCCCTAGACAACTATGCATTTGCCAGTGAAAATAAGACTACATGAACTTATGAAACTTTTGCAGGGCCTTTGGAACTCATACTTGATTATACACAGAATGACTTGTAAAGACAAGGTCAAGGTCTTTCCTAGCTTTAAGAGCCTAAATTGAAAAGGCAGTGGAGGAAATTAAGAAACAAAAAAACAAACAAACAAAAAACCAAGCAGTATCTTGATTACCATTCAGCTTTCTTAAAAAAGATTGCCCAATTGGAAGGTCAGAACCACCTGAAGTCATTGCAGTTTACCCTGCAATGCTCAAGGAAAGCATACACAAGAAGAGTTCCAAATGGCCTCAGAGGACTTAAAAAAGGCCTGAGAGAGAGAAGAGAGACACAGACTGGTTGCCTCCCGCACAGAGCCTCAATCCGGGATCAAACCTGCAACCTGAGTATGTGCTCTGACCGGGAATTGAACCCGCCACCTTGGGTGTACTGCAGAATGCTCCATCTACATCAGCCAGGGCAAGATCATTTTTAACTAGCTTTCATTGTTGTCTAATTTAAATTCAGCTGTGCTCCTTGCTTCATTTTTAATAAGTACATGTACATTATCAGAGGCAATAAATGCCTCCCCTGAGGGCAGAATTAGCCAAGGCGCTCTTCCCTATCCAACAATCTTCAGCTCAGACTAGAAGCACGCCATTACCTGACAAAGAACATTGCATCAAAGACAACTTATTGTATGGGAGTGTGTGTGGTGGTGGTGGTGGGGATTGGTAAGGTAGTACACATATAATACCTTAATAAAAAAATTTTAAAAAAAGAAGAAAAAAGACAACTTATTGTAGCGAATCCTCACTTGAGGATTTTTTCTATAGATTTTCAGAGTGGAAGGGAGAGAGGAGGGGGCAGGAAAAGGGGGAGAGAAAGAGAGCTATCTATTGGTTACCTCCTGCATGGGGCCCAGGGACCCTGGATCCCAGGTGTGTGTGCCTTCATGTGCGTGCCAGCGCTTGTTGGCCGGGCTCAAAGACAAATTAAAGGGTGCTACGCTATTAATAGACTTTTGGGAAATTTCATATCAATGACAAAAATGTTTTAATTTTGTTTTTTTTTTTTTTAGCATACTGAGTTTATTATAATCCAAAACTGAGGGGGGGGGGGGTAGTTGCGGGAGGTCAGCAGGGCCAGCAAATGCCTACATTTTCACCGTAAAAATCAATTTTTGTAAATCACTTGAAACATTTGTCCGAGGCCAAGCTCCCCAGCTCAGAAACAACTGAATCAGCATCTAGTATTCCAAACTCATGTGTAAGCACAGAATAGAGATATCAGGTATTTAAATAACCTCTAACAGGACTATATCCTACGGCAATCCTATTAACCCCCCCTTCTACCCAGCCAAGAAAACAGGATAAAATATCATAGCAGTCAAGTTCTTTGAGGTACCCAAGGTCAACAACAAGTGTGCAGAGGTCAAGTGTTAAACGAAAAGAGTCAAGTCACAAAGTGTTCTCCCAGCGACCACCTTAAGAGAGCCGTCGACGGCCGCAAACAGAGACAGCGTGGACCTTTGACCACACATCGCCCCAACTGTGCAAACTGATCCCAATCCAAATAAAACTTTCACTAAGCCGAAACCGGTTTGGCTCAGTGGATAGAGCGTAGGGGTCCCAGGTTCGAGTCCGGTCAAGGACACATCCCCAGTGGGGGTTGTGCAAGAGGCAGCTGATGTTTCTCTCTCATTGATGTTTCTAGCTCTCCGTCTCTCTCCCTTCTGTAAAAAAAAAAAAAAAAAAAAAAAAAAAAATCACTAAAAACAAACAAAAAAAACTTTCACTAAGCCTCTCAGACCACAGCTCTCACAAAGCACGCGTTTTCATTCCCAGGGTCTCCCATTTCACAGTGAGGCGAGGAGAGGCAAGCCAGCCGGTGTCCAGTTGGCTTCTGTCTGGGGGGGAAAACTGAGAACCCCGACACACACACAAGCCCAAGAGCAGCGAGCGGCCAGGAAGATCGGGTTCTGCGGAGAGTTCACGTGCACCAGCTCACAGGAACCCCCACCTGCACGCCCGGGGCAGACCGGTAACCGAACCCGGGGCCGCCGCTCGGTTCCTCTCCGCGGCGAGCCCAGGCTCCGGGGCGAGCGCCAAGGGGCGCCGAGGGCTCACGGGCTCAAGGTCACCCCCGCACCCCGACAGGCAGCCATTCCCGGGGGCCGCTTCCCAGGCCGCCACGTGCTCGGCGCGGGCCACCCCTGCGGCGGCGCCGGGCGGACCCCGCTCCCGAGCCCGCGGCGCGGGGCTGCCCCCGGGGCCCGCGCCTTCCTCAGGGCCCGCCGGTGGGAACCCGGGCTCGCGTGGCCCGAGGCCCCGGAAGCACAATGGCGGGGCGCACGGTGACAGTTGGGAGCCGTCCAGCTCGCCCTCACCAGAGTCCTAACGGGGAAGCCACGCGGCTCTGGGCGACGGAGGCGAGCGGGGGAGTAGAGGAGAAGGCCGGGGCAGCCCCGCTCCGCCCGCCAGCCGGCCGCCCCGCGGCACCTGCCGCCCGCGCCTCGCGCCGAGGCGGCCCCCTCCTCCTCCTCCTCCCACCCGCACGCGGCCCCGCTCCCTCCCGCCCGCCCACCCGCCCGCCCGCCCGCTCCCGGGAGGCGCGGCAGCTGGCCCGCGTGGCCCGCGGCTTCCGAGGAGACGGGGCGGCATGGAGCGGGGCCGCCCCCCGACCGCCCGGGCTGCCCCGCAGAGGCAGCGGCCGCAGGAGGACGCGGAGCGGCGGGCCACTCACCGGGAGCCCCTCCGCCGCAGTGAGCCGCACCTCCGCCGACTGAAGCTGACACTCCGAGCCCGCGGCGGCCCCGCCCGCCGTTTATAGCCTGGCCCCGCCCCCTGCGACCCCCCGCGGGCTGTCGTCACTTCCTGCCGCACGTACACCTAGCGAGTCGCGCAGCGAACGGATCGCCCCCGGCGGAACACGCGCGGGCCAGGCGGGGGGCGGGTCAGGTGAGAGAAAAAGGCGCCAATTCCGAGGGTGGGCGGGGCGCGCGGGGTGGGCGGGGCGCGCGGGGGGGGGAGTGATTGACACCACCTGCGGGCGCGGAGTCTCTCTCTCTCTCTCTGCTGGGGTGCGGCCCGCAGCTCTACAACCCAGCTCCTGCAGTCTAACCTTGACGGATCGCCAGACCTTGCCCTGCAAGGTCAGATGGTGTTCACGCTTACTCCTCACTGTTGACTTTTTACACCGAAATAATTCCTTTAAAGCATATGTCCTTGATGGAATATAAAGCCATATTGTACAGATATATATTTTGCAATCTCGAGGATACTTGGGCTAAGCAAAGAGGAAAAATAATGAAAACCAAAATGCAAATTTGTATTTGGGATGTGGAAAAGCGACTCATAAACCAAGACTGGCCGTGAGGGAATTATTAATTAATGTTTAATGCGTGAGAGAATGGGAAGGAAACAGAAAAAAGATTAGGACGATAGAATGGAGGATGAACTTGTATGTCCATTGCCGTTGTTATAGGATTCTTCAGTGCATAATAAATAAAATTGAATTCTTGGCCACTTTATTAAACACCTTCCAAACATTCACACCCTCTCCCGGCCTCTTTGTAACCTCTGGTCCTAGTGAGGGAAATTAGACAAGTGTACAAAGGGAAAAAACGACAGGGGCTATAAAAATGTTAGATAAAGCCTTTCCAAGATAAGAGCCCTGGGAGAGTGTTATAGTAAACGAAATAAGTCAGTTAGAAAAAGACAAGTATCACATACTCTCCTATGTGGAATCTAGTGAACAAAATAAACTGATGAACAAAATAAGATTCAGAGACGTGGAAGTATAGAACTGACTGCAGAACCTCAGAGGGAAGGGGGGGAGATCAAACAAAGAACTTGTTATGCATATATTCATGACCCATGGGCACAGACAATAGGGTGTCAGGCCTGGGGTGAGGGGTAGAGGTGGGCTTGAAGAAATTAATGGGGGGATATAGGGAAGCATATGTAATACTTTCAACAATAAAGATTCAATAAAAAAATGATAAGAAGCCCTGAGGGATGTAGAACAATTATTCTTTTAAAATGCAAATTTCTGCTCCTGCTCTTCCCTTTATGCGGCACTATAATAGAGAAAATACTCCGGGCTCTACCCACAAACTTTCCTTTTATTCCCGTTCCTTAACATCTCTCCCAAAGAACTATTTTAAAATCCTGTAAGCCGGAATATCTCTTTCTGCACCTTTGTGGATCTACACAGGACAAAGTTAAAATGAAGAGCTGCCTTGAAATTCAGACAATAAGCCTGTTGAGTCCCCTCTCCCTTTCCTAGACTGGTGGGATCTAACAAGATGGCCACCCCCACATTGTCACAAGATGGCCACCCCCATGTCATCACCAAATGGCCGCTCCTATGTCATAACAAGGTGTCTGCTAACAATGCTAGTGTCCTGGTGATAATCTTACAGCCACGTGGGGGGAAAGAGAGTTTAGGAGATGGAGGTCAGACAAAACCTATGAAAACCCAAATTTTAAAAATTACTACAACGAGCCCTGCCAGCCATGGTTCAATTCCCGGTCAGGACACATGCCCTGGTTGTGAGCTTTCTCCCCAGTAGGAGGCATGCAGGAGGCAGCCAATCAATGATTCTCTCTCATCATTGATGTTTCTATCTCTGTCTCCCTCTCCTTTCCTCTCTGAAATGAATAAAAATATTTTTTAATTACTACAATGAAACAATAAAGAGGAAGGACATCACCTTAAAGTGTGTCAATTATATTTTTACTAGAGGTCCGTACATGAAATTCATGTTGGGGGGGGGGGGGCGGGGATGGCCCTCAGCCCAGCCTGCACCCTATGCAATCTGGGACCCCTTGGGGGATGTCTGACTGTGGGATTGGGCCTAAACCAGCAATAGGACATCTTTCTTACAATACAGGACTGCTGGCTCTTAACCACTCGCCTGCCTGCCTGCCTGATCACCCCCTAATCACTTCTGCCTGCCAGCATGATCACCCCCAACTGCCCTCCTCTGCAGGCCTGGTCCTCCCCAACTGCCCTCCCCTGCTGGCCATCTTATGATGATGTGGGGATGGCTATCTTGTGATGATGTGGGGGGCAGACATCTTGTGATGGCCATCTTGTGACAACATGGGGGCTGCCATCTTCTGATGACGTGGGGCAGCTACCTTATTATGACATAGGAGCGGCCATTTGGTGATGACATGGGGGTGGCCATCTTGTGACAATGTGGGGGTGGCCATCTTGTGATGTGAGGGTGTGAGGGTCAATTTGCATATTAACTCTTTATTATATAAGGTTTTCATGCTTTTGTTAGTAATAGACACTAAGCAATTAAATTCCCTTTACTATCCCTTTCCCTCTCCTCTGTAATTTCAAGTTAGATGAAAACAAATATGTCTTGCTTTGTTACTGAATCTATACACACTGAGAAGTACTTTTGCATTGTCTGGCAGTCTATACAAATGTTCCATTATACAGAAAACCAGAGGGGGAGGGAGGAGGAGAGAGAGAGAGAGAAGGAGGGAGGGAGAGAGAATGGTTTGCACTTCTCCCCAACCAGAGGTTAAATAGCTTAAGTCATCCTACTCGGGGAGTTAAATAGCAGAAATCCAGTTAGTCCCATTTGCCAACCACACTCATAGACAGATCGAGTTAAGGAAATAAGTCTCATTTTTACATATCAACATAAAACTGACGAATATTCTATTGAGATTCTCCATTAAGACCTCCCCTGATCTCCCAGCCTTTAAACCCCTCAAAACGCATGTCCCAGGGCTCCCTCCCTCCCAGAAGCATGCCTGTGTCTCTCCCTCTCCCTCCTGCTCCTCCACGGCATGCATTTCCTAAACTCTAAGGGACCCCATGAGGCTTAGTGGCTTACAACCAGGGCAGCAATAGGCATCTGCAGTTCAGCTTGGGGAAACCCTTGAACCTGACCCAAGACCCTCTTCTTTCTGACTTCCTGGTGAGCCAAAGCAGCCTCGCCTAGGCGCATTTCCCCACCTGGTCCCTCTCCTATTATCCAGGCCCTTCCTTGTTTCACCATCCCCAGCTTTAAGAAACGTCATCTACTCCTAAAATTCATCTAGACTCCCGTTGTGAAATTTTTCCTGTACAAAGTCAAGAACCCACACACTGTCAGCCGTAGGCAGACCCACGTAAAGGCCAGGTCATCTTCTGTGGTAACATCTATTAATATTTTCAAAGGAAATCTGAAATGGGAGTTGTGTGTGTGTGTGTGTGGTGGTGGTGGGGGAGTGGGGAACGCGAGGAGGAGGAGGAGGAGGAGGAGGAGGAGGAGGAGGAGGAGGAGGAGGAGGAGGAGGGAGGTTAAGATCAGCATTTGTTTTGCAGAGAGCCAATATAGGAGCAGTGCTCACTCCAGTGCCAAGAGTGGCCCCACCAGCTCCTTCCCAGGGAAGGACACTCAGCATCCTGGCTTCAAGCCACCATGACTCTGAACGGTGCCTGTGAGCCTCTGTGCTTCACTTTGACTTATTTTGTGCATCGTTAGCAGGATGTGTTCTAAAGTATCGGAAAAGCCTACGAGAGCTCATAAAGGTCTTATACTTAGCAAAATCTGGACATAATTAAGTGTATTTGGTGTGACTTAGTAGGTTATTTTGGGAGGCTGAAATGCCCCCATTTTTTCCATATAAATTCATGGTAATTGGGTCTTCATTTGCACCGTCTCAGCTTATGAGAAAAATTTCATAGGAATGCTCTACTCTTGGAAAGCGGCAGTGGGGGTGGGGTGGGGAACCTGTGGAGGGTTGAGGCTGATGAAGAGGAAGACACAAGCTGTTGATTCTAGCAGAAAGGTTTGCCCTAAGGCTGACGGGAGAATGATCCTGTGGTGTATGTTTGAGATTCCACTCTACCTGGCCGCTTCTTCAGAGCAATGACCGGTGGAAGAGAGTGTATGGGAGTCCGCTGCAAAATCCTCCCTTCCTCCCTTCCTCTCTTTCCTCTTCACCTGGAGATGAAAGCAAGACTTGATATTTGGGAGGAATCGCAGGAAAGAACAAGTCAGAGAAGCCACTGGTAACATAAAAAAACAAAAACAAACAAACAAACAAAAAACACACAAAAACATATTGAAACCTGTAAAGAATTTTTGTGAGTTTATTTGAGCCAAATTGTCGACAGAAGCCAGGAAGCAGAACCTCAACAAATTGAGATAATGCTCTGGAGAATGGCTGGTTACATCTGTATTTATACATTGCAATCAAAGGAGGGACATAGATGGGTTACATGAAATTCATTGGTGATAGATTAAGGAGGTGGTTAGATAGCAAGGTAGGGGGGAACCCTGGGATTGGATAAAAAGTAAAATGATGGACACATACTTAGGTGGGTGCAGGAACAATTAACATGATAATGAAGCAATTTGTGGTACCTGTACTGGCACCCATCATATTTGGTTGCGCCCCAGGGGCGCCAGAAAAATGGAAGTTACAAGTTACCCAGACATTTCAAAGGTATCTTATCAAAGATGCAAACAAACAAACAAACAAACAGACCAGATAGGCTCAGTTAAGGTAGAGGGTGACCTTGTCAGTGAAGATACCGGCTTAGGATGTAACTGCTTTTAGTTCAAGTTTAATTTCAGACCATCCTTTGTGGTTCCTTTAGGTCTCTGAGTTTGCAAGACCGCCATGCAGGCCTCCCCTGAGCTGCTCAAGTCAGCATGTGGCCGCTTTCGGCCTCACCACTAATGTAGTAGTGAAATCGGCCTAGAAGTCAGCAACTGGTCCCAGTGCTGTCACCAATTGTGCTGCGTAACCATGGGCTTAAATGGCTGCATGCCTCAGTTTCC